CGCGGTAGGCGGAGGCGGCGGTCCTGCTCGCCGCGACGCTCGGGCCGCAGTCCAGCACCACCCGCTCGGCCAAGGCACCGTAGTCACTGCGCGGCACCGAGGGGCTGGCGACCTCCGCGGCCAGGCATAGCACCGCCTGGGCCACCGTGCTAGCGGCAATAAAGAGCACTGGTCCCCTGCGCCGCTGCCAGGCCTCGTAGAGGGCCGGCCAGCGTGCGTTCAGCTTGAAGATGCAGATGATCTGGAAGGAGCGCGTTGCCACACACGAGAGGAAGATGGTGAAGCTGATGGCTAAGAGGGGGAGCCGCAGCAGGCATGTGTGCCGGGCTGGCTCCCCGAAGTAGCAGAAGAGACTGCTGCAGGCACAGGCCAGAGAGCCCAGCATGAGGAAGCACATCTTCCCGCCTGCAGACTTGACCACTGGCGTGGAGGCATTCAGGGCGAAGAGGACAGCCAGCCCTGCCATGAGCAGCATGAGGAGGATGGTGGGGGTCAGCAGTGCCCAGGAGATGGGTTCAGACCAAGACAGAAACTCGGCAGTGCGGTTGAAGCAAGCTTCACTTCTCGCCGGGGCCCACTCATCTACCCTGCAGGACTGGCAGCTGTAGAGGTCTGCAGAGGACAGAAGCCCGGGCAGTGACAGAGGCACCTTGCGCACCACGGATCCCGGTAAGAGATCTGCTGCGGTGCAGCACTCTGCCCACACAGCCCCGTGAGCTGTCTGCGAGAGCTGCCCACTCCTCACATCTTGCTCCTTCCTCTTGGGCATTTCCAAGCCTTGGGGAACAGAGGGGGCTCTCTTACCAAAAGACCCCCTCTCAATAGTCCTCCCAGTGGACTGGGAAGGACTAGAAGTCGGCTGCTTGGGTTGAGAGGTGCAAGGCCCACAGGAGCCCAGCTGGGTGCACCGAGGTTCAGGGGGGGTGTGGGCTGTGGGTGGGAAGAGGCTTGTGCCTTCAGGAGTAACCTGCGAAGGCCAGGAAAGGTCTGCGGCAGCCCCCCTTCTGCAGGCTTAGGTACGGGACAGTAACATTTGGGGCATCCCTGCTCCTGCTGTTACCTGAAGCTGGCTGTTTCATCTCCCCTCAACTCAAGTGTGGGCCAAGGCTGCCGAGTGACCAGCTGCCAGCAAGGGTTTTGTCATTGTGGCTGGTGACTCTGAGACAGGAGATTCCTGCCGCCTGTCCCAGGCAGGGGACATTTCCATATGCCAGCTGCTGGTGACCGCATGGTGCGGAAGCCCCGAATGCCATCTGGGGCACAAAGGCCACCACTGGGTCGAATTTCCCTCCCAGAGGATGCGGTGCAGGAAACAGCTGTCGGGCCAGACGTTCCTTGTCCCCTGGCCGCAGGAGAAGGGGCTCTGCTGGCACCGTCTCCACAGGCTGTTTGACTGCATGGGCCCACCTGTGGGCAGCGCTCCCCGGAAAGCGCAGGGCGGGGGCTTTGCATACCCATGGGTAAGCAAACAGGGAGTCAGACCAGCTGTGTTCAGGCGAGCTCGGAGTTTTTTACCAATGACAGGGAGGAAGAGAAAGCGGGAGGGAAGAGGCTGGGGGAATGGCGAGGTGGAAGCAAGGAGCTGACAGGAGGAGGAGGAGGCAGGGTGCGGGCAGGGGAGCCAAGCGGGAAGGAAGGGAAGCGAGCAGCCCCCCAGGGCGTACTGACCCGATCTGTTCAGGAAGGTTCCTGCCGGACAGCCCTCACAGCTGAAGCAGCATCGGTGTCTGCTCCGCTGCAGCCGCTTCTCCCCAGGTTGACAGGCCTCGGAGCACACTGAGGCAGGAGCCTGTCGGGAGCAGAGCAAGAGTCAGGCAGGCGAGCGGGGCGGGCAGCAGGACACCTCGCTGAGCGTCAGCCCAGGCCTGCAGCGTTCAGGCAGCTTGCTGCCAGCTTTCAGGACAGACCCTGGGCAGGAGCCAAGAGCTCACCACATTGTGGTTTTTACAGAGGTGGTGGGAAAATGAGACTGTTTAAAGGAAAAGTAAGAGCTTTTTCGGTTCGCGTGCCCTGGGGTTTTTTTGGAAGGATGAAAGCTGATACTCAGAACACAGATCACACCCCTATACCACCTCTGTCTGCCCTGCTATGGGAAAATACCCCAGAACTGGCGGTGTTGGGGATGCAGCTGGCTCAGCAGTAAGCAATAAATAAGATCTGGATGCAGAACTGTACCTGCCGATCTTTTGTGTGCCACAGCATTTTGCCCTGGTCAATGCTCAGCCTGTCGGGATTCACACTGAAAGTTCCTACCACATCGAAAGCCCAGCTCGGGCCACTCCAGTTCCACATGACAATGTCGTAGCCTTTCCGAATGTCCCCGTTGGCATCAAAAGAGATGCGGCTCTTGTACAGGGAGAAGTTTACTTGCTTGATTTTTTGTAGGAGCTGTAAAACAGAAGAGTAAGAGAAGAGCCCTTCCTGATGACAAGATTGTCCCTGAGGTGTGCCTTGTCTCGGGAGGGAGATGTGCTGGAGGGGGGTCCCTTCTCTGCTCTGGCTCCTCTTTCCAACCCCCCAACAGCTAGCATATGCCCAGCTGCAGGAATTCCCTTCCAAGTTTCTGCGAAGGGCTGGTGGTAGAGGAACAGAAGCAATCTAGGGCAGGGGTCTGGGTCTAGGTCCAGGCTGCTTTGACTGTGACAGGCAGCTGAAGCCCACGAGGCCCTTCAGCTGGGACATAAGCCTTTCAGAGGGACAGAGAACCCCTGGGCAGAAGGGGAAAATCCTTCCCTGTGAGGACAGATACTCATGGATCCTATTCTACAAGGAAGATCCTTCCTCCTGTTGCTTTTACCTGCCAGGGATAGACTTTGCCTTTGCTGCACGCCCCCGAGGCGCAGCCCAGCAGGTCATGAAGGCCGTGCGCCACGGCATACACAGCTGAGTACACGTTGAAGGAGGCTTGAGCATCGTACATGTCGGGGACAGTGGCAAGCAAGTGGCAGCTGGTGCAGCGCTGGGTGCAGTCCAGCTGGGCATTCCCTCCGATTCCCCCGCCTGTCTCCATCCTGCCAGTACATCCAGCCGCAGCGCTTTCCTCTGCTGCCTTCCAAGTCTCAAAGCGCTCCAGCATCGTGTATTCTATCTTCTCGACAGACATCCCAATCACCGAGCCAATACTCTGGATGCCAGGCACCTGCCAGATTGTTTGGGCTAACGACCAGTCTTCAGAGCCCACCCACACCATGCCCGTGACATTCCTCTGGACCACCACCTCAAAGAAGGGGCAGGCACTTTTTCTGTTAGAGAAGACGACGGTGACATTAACCCTGACGTCTGTGAGAATTCTGACCAGGTTGTGGAGCTCCAGGCTGTTGGCGTCCTTGTTGACAGGGATGATGCCTCGGTAGGCAACGCACACATCGCTTGCGGTCAGCAGCTTGTAGAGGGAGTCTAAGCCTTCCCTGCCATAGGTGTTGTCGCTGCCCAGCAATGCGACCCAAGTCCACCCAAACCGCTTCAGCAGCAGAAAGATGGCCTTCACTTGCTGCCTGTCGCTGGGAATGGTGCGCAGGAACGAGGGGTAGAACCGCTTGAGGCTCAGCGTCTCCAAGGTGGCTTCGTAACTAATCTGCGAAGGGAGACAGGAGAAAGGGGGTTGCGCTCCCCCAGGCAGCGGCACCCTAGGAGCTAGCAGCACAGGCAGCCCAGCACCTGAAGAGACTTGGGGCTGGGCAGGCAGCAGACCCGGAGCCAAATGTGCTGCTGCCAGGGAAACCTTTGAAGGACAGCGAGCCAGCCACAGTTCCTGCCTGCCAGCTGGGAAGAGCATGGAGGGGCTGTGTTTCCAGCTCAGCCTGGCTCCTCAGCTCCAAGCCCATCCTCCCTCCAACCGTCACTGCTTGGGAGCCCTTTTCTTTGTCTGCCAGGGGAGCCGTGCTTACCTCCGGTACAAGGAAGACGCCGAGGATGGCTGCTGTGGTGAGTGCCAGCCGGGTGCTGTCGGGCCCGATGACGGCCACCGCTTCGGGCTCGTAGCGGCGGAAGGTGGGGAGCACCTCGACCTCCCGGCCACCTTTCCGGGCGAGGGCACGCAGCGTGGCGTGGAGGTTGGCGGGCTCCGAGCAGGTGTCGTGGATGTCGTAGCCCAAGGTGACGTTGGGGAGGAGGGCGCTGGAGTTGTTTATCTCCTCCACGGCGAAGCGCATGGCTTGGGACAGGCAGTAGCCGTGGCTCTTGAAGGTGGCGGCGCTGTGCGAACGCAAAAGTGGTTTTCAGGGAGGAAAAAAGGCATTTTTTGCGGGGGGAAGCAGGGTGGCGCGGGGGACTCACTGGTCGCAGCCGGGCACCAGCGGCCGGGCGGCGGCCCGCGGCGCCGAGGCGTGTATGGGGAAGAGGCCGGCCAGGCGGTAGTC